ACAGACTTTCTGGCTTTCACTGCTGACCTTTGGGCCTTCCCAGTGTGGATCTGTAAAAGATTGGTGTGAGTCCTTCTCATGGGCTCTAGACCTCCAGTTGGGCTCATGGGAGACATTGTCATGGGCTCTAGATTTTCATCTGTACTCATGCAAGACATTACTGTGGGATCCAGGCTCTGAATATTCTGGGTCTTTAGTGTTGTGGGCAGATTTCCTGTACTTTCTTGTGTTTAACTCTGGGGGACCATCATAAAATATAAATTCTGTGTCCTGATTCTGATTGTTCTCTTCACAGCCCTGAATACAACAAATTCCCATGTTCATAAACTGGCAGAATTAAAAATTTTTAAATGTTCTTATTACAGAAAGTAATCAATAGAATCAACACAATCCCTCTTGAAATACCAACAGTTTCTTCACAGAACTAGAAAAAAAAATCCTAAAGTTCATATGGAAACACAAAAGACTCAGAAAGGCCAAAAGAATCTTAAGAGAAAGACCAATACTGAAAGCATCTTGAGGGCACAGGCAAAGACTTCCTGAATAAGATTACAATAGCACAGGAAATAACAGCAAAAATCCTCCAAAATGGGACTACATTAAATTAAAAAGTTTCCGTTCAGTAAAGGAAACAACAGTGAAGAGAAAGCTTACAGCACTGGTGGTGAATCTATGGCACATGTGCTTCAATGGGCTTTTTGTATCATTGAAAGCTCTCAAAGATTACCATCACTGGCCCACAGAATGAAAGAAAATATTTGCCAGCTACTTTTCTGACAGATTAGTATTTAGAATTTATAAAGAACTAAAAGACCTTAATAGTCCTCAAATCAAATAACCCAATCAATAAAGGGACAAATGTATTGAAGAGAAACTTCCCCCAAAAGAGGTACAAATGACCAATAACTGTATGAAAAAACTCAACACCTTTAGCCATCAGGGAAATACAAATCAAAATTATATTGAGATTCCACTGTCCCCAGTCAGCAAGTCTATCCTATCATCAAAAATACAAAAAACAAAAATGCTGGGAAGTATTCAGAGGGAAGGAAACCCTTGTACATTTGGAATTACCTAGGTCCACCACCAAATAGCCCAGAAACTGAAGCAAGAAAGAAACATGTTGAAAACTACATGCTGAAAATGCATCATTTAAATGCATCATTTAAATTTCTTGCCATAAGAAGAAAAAAGTCTATCAGGACTCTAAAACTAAGAATATTTTCCAAAAATTTAGTTTATTTGGAAATAGGCAAATAATTTGAGGAAATGGTTCATTTAAAGCTATTCAACTTGAAAACACCTTAATTATGATAAAAATGATTATATTTCTTAACAAGATTTTAAAATAGATATAGTTTTGAAATGTAATGATTTTAAACTTCTTTATTCTATAATACTTAAATAAATTTGTGGGTACTACTTTTATTCATTGTCTTATTATACATCATTGTTATTAATGTTATATATAGTGTATTTCTATGTGCTCCTCAGAGTACTAATAGTTAAAAACATTTGTTAAGTACTGGGAATTGTACTAATTTCTTTGTGAAGAAGTTCAAACCTTAAAAACACAATCTACTGACAATGCCAAAGTTCATATGTCTAATCTCTGTCTTCAACTTTGTGTTTATATATCCAACTGTATACCTCATATGGCCAACTGGATATCTAATGAACTTTGGAAATGTGACATAACTAAAACTGACCATTATCAGTTACTTTCCTCATAAACATTTTCCTTCCAGATTATTCCCCATTTCAATCACTGGAAATTCCATGCTTCCCTTTGTGCGGATGACCCTGAAGTAAGAATCCTTATTTTTTTTTATATATATTCACATGCAAATTGAAGATGCTGGCCTCATCCCTGCCTAGGGATGGTCTCCGTTGACTTAAGCCAATTAGCACACTGCACTCTCCTTGCCACAAGCCAATTAGATGGAATCTTTGGATTTTTTTTCAGGATAGATGGAAAGGAAGTTGTACTTTCTTTTACTGGCTATGAAAGAAGTTGATAGCCTCCTTGTTTTAGGTGGTCATTCTTCAAATGGGAAGGCGTCCAGTTTAAGTTGGAGCTTTTGGTTCATGCAAGAGAAAGCATTCTTGATAAAGGCTGAGACCCTTAGTTTCATGTTTGACCAACTCAAATGATTTTGGTGAAATCCTGAATGAAAGATGTTTTCATTTTTTCATATTCTTCTGCCTTGCCTAAGATATTTCCCATTCTAGAGAGGCCTTTCCAACGATGACATACTGACACACACCCCCATCTTGTAAGGTCTATCATAGATAGCCTTTTCTTGTATATCATTAGCTTTGGAAGATAGCCTAATTTTAAATACCTGGCCACAATAAATTTATTCATTCTTTTCATCACTGAGATGCTTAGAAATGTTTCCCCCTTAGTGAGTTACAGATGTGATATACACAGAAGTGAACCTGTAATTAGAACATGTAGAGGTAAGTATTGAGAAGGGTGAAATTTTAGATGCAGTGGGAGTGCAGAAGGAGACTTTAATTTAACCTAGAAGTTGTGAATGGAGTCATCCAGGAACCCTTGGTGAGGCCCATGGGGATTGGGAGTCTGCATGCAACAACCCACTCACACCCACTGATCATCTCTGAGGCCTTCAGGAACTGGAAGTCTGCACCCAGTGACCTGTGGTCATTCTGGTCCTCAGTAAGGCCTATGTGAACTGGGAATCTGAGCCAAGCAATTGGGAACCATGTCTCAGGTTGCAGGGACTGGAAGACTGCACCCAGCAGCCCTCCTGTACCTGAGAACTATTTCTGAGGCCTGTGGCAACTGGGAGTCTGTGCCCAGCCACCCAGCCACACCCAGGAACCATCTCTGAAGCCCATGGGGACCAGAAGCCTGTGACCAGAAACTCATAGTCATCTGGGAACCCTCAGTGAGGCCCACAGGGATTGGGAGTCTGCACCCAAAGACCCATGCTCATCAGCAACCCTCAATGAGGTCTACTGTCAGACAGGCCACTAGTGAAGGAAACAACTAGCACTTGGCATCTGGCTGATATGGAGGAACACAGGAAAATGCCAAAACAAAAGAACAAACTGCAATCTCAAAATTTTAGCCCATTGAGCTCAAGTTCAGGAGACATAGACATGGATGAAGTTAGAAATCACACACCTGAAATTTCTGAAATGATAGCAATGAAAGTAAAGAAACACTTCCAGGGAGCTGTAAAGGAAATAAGAACAGAAATAATCTCTCAAGTAAACACAGAAATGATAAATGTAATGAAAGAATTAGTAAATATATCCAAAGAAGACATAGATAAAAAGAAAGGAGCAGAGGAAAAGTGATTGAAACATTGAACAAACAATAGAGGAAACAATTAGAATACATGAAACAGACTCAAGGAGATATCCAGGAAATCAAAAATATCATTGAAAGCTGGAAAAACTGCACAAATGAAACTGCAGAAGTCTTCTCAGACCTTGAAGACAGGATTATGGCTAGTGATCATGCAAAGAAAGATCTCTAAAAAATAACAAGGAATTAGGAAATAACAGTTCAACACTTGCAAGATGATGCACAGGGAAACAGTTTAAGCTGATAGGTGTCAGCATAAGAGGAGACAACATAAATGACAAAAAAAAAAAAGATTATTTGTAGAATTAATAGCACAAAATTTCCCAAACATTGGAAAAGGACCTGACATATGGATAAGTGAGGCATATTGAACTTCATCAGCCACAACCAAAATAAATCTACACCTTGACCTATAATAATCAAGATCCAAGAAATTCATCCTAAGAACAGAATATTAAAAGCTGCTAGAGAATAGAATTTGTACACAATATGGTAAAGAGCCTTCCTGGATCAGATAATATACAGAAAATGAGAACAATTAGAAGTTAAACAGTTTGAAAAACATGGAAAAAGTCATTTTAGAAAGAGAAAAGTTATGAAAATGCCCAACAATTTCCGAGATTAAAGCTGTCTTTGGGAATAGGTCCAGAATATGAAGTGCCAGAAGGAACATGCTGAGAAAGGCCAGAGATTGAGGTGAAAATCATACCAAGAGAAACCAGTAAGACTAACTTGAGAAGGTAGATTTTGCACTAGGAACCACCAGAGGCTCTTTAATCTGTGCTTCAAGAAGATCAAGCAGACTGTAGAGAGTCAAGGGATTTGGAAAAGCCTATTGGGAGCCGTAGAAACTGGAAATTGAACACACGTGCAGGGCAGCTGTATGGCCGGAGCAAGATTAGCTAACGGCTAGCATACCTGGTTCCAACTCCAACTAACTATAAAGACTGTAGCTGCAGGCATTTCACTCCTGTAGTGAAATGCAACATGGAGATCTTCTCTGAAGAACCTTTTTCTTGTTAACATAATTTGTTGCTTGCAAAGTCCTTGCACCACTCCCAAGATCTGTTCAGCTTCCTGTGTTGTTTGAAAAAAATAATACAGCTGCCCAAAGGCATTCCCCACCAGAGTCTCCAAACTCTGCAGAGGGTTTTGATCCTCCAGGAGCCCTAAAATCATACCACTTATTTAATTTAACCCTTCACCGTACACTCATTTGGATGACTGGGGATCTAGGCCAGGTCCCCAGTAAAAATCCCCAATAAAAATGAGAGCAAGGAGATCAGATATCAGATGTGTCTCCTCCTCATTCCACTTCTGATGTGTCAGGTTAGGAGTAGTCACAGAACTTGAAGATGATACAAAAAGTGGCAAAGGTTTGTGCTTTCCTCATGGGCTTACCCAAAAGGGTGCCCTTTAGGTATAGAAATCTGTCTTACATGATCAGAATATCAGTCATATTTATAGTGAATGTAATGACATCACCATGTAAACAGTACACCCAACCTCAAATGCCATACTGCAGCAAAATTCCACAATTTTTTGTGGTTCTTCAAATCATTTGAAGATTTTGGATTTTAACCACTCTATCCAAAGATTTCTTTGGGAATAATGGACATCGACGACAAAGACATAAGATGTTGCTGCGCCTCTAGATTTTATTAGCAGTAAGATTCAGCGGCCATATGTTACCAGTATTCTAACACGGCTGGAGGGTGAGCAGAACTTCCTCCCTCACAGTGTCTTGACTACAGAAATCGAACCTGTGAAAAGAGAATGTCAAATGGTCACCACATTCTGGAACCAAGCGGTGGTGTTTATCATGAGGAGAGTTACTGTTTTCTCCTCTCATTCCTGCAGTCTGAAAGAGGTTACATCCTGTACCCGAAAGACTGAATCTCTTCTCCAGCCTTGTTATATAGGGTTATACAGAATAATAATATAATATAATATAATATAATATAATATAATATAATATAATAATGTAATAGGGTTAGACAGAAATCAGAAAGAGGAACTGCCCAGCACACCCTAAAAGATGGGAAGAGTTCATTTTCCATTTAATACTTTCAGACCATGGTTCACTGTGGAAAACTGCAATTGCGGAAAGCAAAGCTTTTAAAAGAAAACTACTGTTCCGAAGAGCAGCATGGTTGAACTATACATAGATCTACATTTGTCTACTTAAAATTGTGAAATGGCATTTAAAAGTGTTTTTATCATTTTATATTACTGTCAACAGTATGTTGAAGGTCAAGATTCTTGTTATCCTCAACCTTGTGAAACAGTCAATCATTTAAATTTTAGCCATTTATACAGTTTATGATGGTACACCATGGTTTTAAATTGCATTTTCTTGTGACTAGTAGAGCATCTTTTTCTATCATTTCACTTTGTGAAATCTATTTTTATTTTTATATTTAAAGAGCATTTAAGGTAGATATAATACAATTACTTGAATATTGATTTTTAAAAAAAATCTAATGTGACAATTTCTGCCTTCCAATTTTAGTGTTTAAGTCATTTTTATTTAATATAATAATTGGTATGGTTACATACAACTCGAGTCTTCCTACTTGTTTTCTATTTTTTCCCTATGTCCTTTGTTCTCTTTTGGTTTATTTTGACCCCATTTTATCTCCTTAGTTTGTTTGCTGCAGTTCTTTGTTTTATTATTGTAGGGGTTGCTTTGACAGCATATATTTTTATCTTGTCACATTCTCGGTCTAAATTATATAACCAGTTTGCTTATGGTTGAGCAACTTTCTAATAGTATGTTTCGATTTTTCTTCTCCTGTTCTTTACGATGTTTTCATATGCTTTATCTAGACATAATAGTATGTATCCCCAAAATATTGCTGTAACTTTCTAAATACTCAAGTAGTTGTTGCTTTTTTCTTTTTCTTTCTTTTTTGTGTGTATGTGCCAGGGGTTGAACACAGAACTTGGCACATGCTAAGCAGGAGTGTCCATACATCTCCATCGCCTAGTCAGTTATTTTCAGAGAGAATTGCATAATAAAATTTTAACACCTTGTGTATTTTCAATGTGGTTAACATTTACTACTTTTCTAATCCTTTTCTGTAGATTCTTTTCCAAGTAATACTGTATTCTTATGCCCCAAATCCTTCAACACTTCTTGTAGTGCTTGTAGTGCCTTTCCGTGCTGGTATGTCTGAAAAGCCTTAATTTCACTTTCAATGTTCAAATATATGTTTGTGTGCTGTCAAAGCAACCCCTCCAGTAAATTCTCTGTTGAATGTTTCCTACTTCAGTACCTTGAAGATACTGTTCCACTGCCTGCTAGTTTATATTACTACTAGAAAGAAATCTTCTTAAATTTTTATTTTTCCTGTATGTAATAGGATCTTTTTCTATTGTTGCTTTTAAGAGTTTTTCCTTTATAAATGGGTTTGAGTAATTTGATACTCATGTTTCTGTTTTCTTCATGTCTCTTGATATTATGATGATGATGATGATGATTTGATTTCTTAGTTTGTAGTTTTTACCAAGTTTGATGACTGTGGAGACATTATTCCTGAAATACATTTTTTTGTTGCTCTGCATTTGGAGTCTTCAAACACAAGTACACTGATACTCTTAAAATTTCCTGTAGGTCACTGATGTTCTTTCCAGTTAAAAATTTCTTTTTCCTCTATTTAATTTTATATAGTATACATTATGTCTTCAACTTCAGTAGTCTTTTCAGTAGTTTTTAATCGCCTGTTAATTGTATTTGGTGTACTTTTCACTTGAGACTATGTTATATCTTCAGAAATTTTTGGTGAGTCTTTCTTATTGTTGGGGAAGGCTTTTTGAATAAGTGCCATTTCCTCACTGACCTTTTTGAACTAATGGAATTGATATTATTTGTTTATTTATTTTGGTACCAGGGATTGAACTCTTGATCTCATGCTTGCCAGGCAGGTGTTTACTCTGCTGAGCTAAACCCCTAGCCACTGGCATGGATGTTTAATAACTAGTTTAATCTCACTGTCTAAACAGCTTTGTCAATTCTGGTCATGTATTAATTCATTGGTTACTTTTTGATAAGTTCTACAGTCCTATTTTTACAGCTGGAAATCTTTGATTAACATTATGCAATGTGGATTTTATCTTGTTACCTGCTGGGTAATTTTGTATCTCTATAAATCTTATTGAGCTGTGCTCTGGGATACAGTTAAGTTATTTGGAAACAATTTGATCATTTTGAGTTTTACTAAATCTAGTGTAATCATTCCCACAGAGAAACAAAACCTTCTTAAATACTCTACTCAATGTGTCTTGAATTACAAGATTTTCCAGACTGGCTGGTAAAAACAAGGAATATTTTTAGCCCGCAGGAGCACTGGGCATTGTTCTCTTTAATCCTGCCAAATGGCCATTTCCCTGGCCTTGGCTACTTTGCTTACATGTGTTTGCTGATAAGCACTGTGCTGGCTATTCAAGGGGCCTTTCAGAACTCCAGGACTCTCAGATTATACTACAAAACCTATTTGCCTTAGGTTCTCTAATTCTTCACTCTGTCTCCTCATTTTAGAGACTGTTACTTTTGGCCTTACATCTTTTGGTTGTGTCAGATCCTGGAAACTCTCTCAAGATAATAAATTTGGATAATTTTAAGGTTACACTTCGTTTTTTATCTTTCAAGCATCACTGTTCGTTACTTCTGGAAATTCAGGGTTCAAAAAACTATTGTTTCACGTATTTATCTGACTCTTTGTTTCCCTTGGGAAGGTAAATGTGATTGTTGTCTTTGCTAGAAACAGAAGTCCTCTCATTGGGTTCCTATGAGTATAAAATATATCTGATGACAGAAGAACCAGTGCCTTCTGCCTTGCAACTTATCTAAACACTAATATATTCTTGAGCTAATATTGTATTACTATGATCATAACCATTCTGCCTTTTTGGTAAGCGTTTTTTGACCAATGCATACTCTAGTCATGGTGAAAATAAAGGACAGATCTTCTGGACCTTTGTCTTCTCCCAGAAGACCTGCGACACAGAACAGTCTATTTCTGTCTCTTGATAGTTTAAACAAGTGTCTGGTGATTTAAATAGCAACTTGAAAACCATGAAGTTTGAAGATTATGTACACATTAATTACATACCTACTAAAAAACTCACCTGCCCAATGAAATAATTCTTTTCACCTTTATGATCACAATGTTGGATTATCATTCTAACAATTTGTAACAACATTTGCCTACAAATCTATTAAAGTTCTGTACTCTCTCCTAAAGAAACAGTAGATATTAGGAAGCAGCTGTGCCTCAGGTATAGGAGAACCACTGTAGGACGATCAACTTACAGGAGAATTTCAGTGGGAATAGGATTGTGAATACTAACCGATCCTTCTCATTCCCTTGATATTTATTACTTACACTCTTCCATCACTTCTGGTCACTGTAATCCTGGATGCTCCCACTTTGGGTAGGGTTATGTTGATCACATTGTTGTACCAAATAAATTTAACCTTCTGTAAGTCCCCAACGTCCACATCAGAATCAATCTCATTAGAATGATTGTTTCCTGGCTTGAGAGAGCCCCTGGGGAGAGTTAAGAAGTTAATAAAAAATGCACATGAATACATACAAAATGAGCATACCTATGAATATAAATACATGGATATATGCATATATATTTTTCTAAAAAAGCTTGCTTGCAATATATCTGTAAGATGATGAATAGAAAATTCATCATTTAATGTATTAGATAAATCAACACATATATGCTAACTCAGTATTAAATATTGCCATCAATGACTCATAAAAATTTAGTCATCTTTACTTTAGTGAAACTTCTAACATGTTTGCGACACAATCCTCCCCATTTAATGTATGATCACTGGCATATTTTACCCACTGTTTTGTGGAGAATAATAATTTTTATTATAAATCAAATACCAGACATCAAAATAAATATCTCAGAATGGTTTTCTCAGAAATAGTAAAGAAAAAATTTAGAACTGGAATTCTGAAATGCATTAGAGTGAACATACAAAAGGATACCTTTCTCTTTTAGTATATGTTACAGAACTCAATTCCCATATGGCAGTGAATAAGCAAACTCTTCTGACAGTACACATAGGCAGTGTTCAAACATTTAAGAAGCTCAGAAAAATATGTTACTCACCGGTAAATTTCATACTGCTTAGTGTTTCCCGCATTTCCAAACAAAGAAACCAGCACATGCCCTGTAACCTTCTGCCCTGACAATGTGACCGCTATCCGATACCTCCAACCTGCACAACACATAAAATTTGCAAAATGTCAGCTTGCAGAGAAGACACAGTAAAAACTGGTCCTACCATAGAATTTTGGATTCTTTATACATGGTCCTGGTGATTCTAATCATGAAATAGATACTGAGTTCTTTACCTAAGTGTTCAAGGGATAAGTACTGAGAATGTGGAGAATCTTTCCAAAGTTAATAAAAACATTTTTTAAGCCAAGGGACTACAAAATACATTATGTTTAACATTTTTCAACAAAACAGTTTGTTCCTCCGTGAATTCAAAAGGAAAGATAGAGTGTCACACTTTCGTTGGTTTATTTTCATTGACCACTAAAATTTATAGTACTGTCATTTTTTGTCTATATAGTCAAATGCTTGCTTAAAATATTTCATAATTCAAATTTCCATCATCCTTGGAAATATACTAATGTAGGAAGCCAAAACTAGATTCCTTTGGTACTAGTTAATAATAAGCCTTAATTGTTTTTGCCAATCTGCTCTAGTCAGGAACAAATTAAGGATGGGATAAAGTTTGTCTTTAATTCTCACAGTTTTCTTAAACCCACTAACTCTGATCAAAGAAGTTTTCTCCCTCTGTTACCCTCTGTACAATTCCAATACCCTCTAATTCCAATCACCCATGGTATCTAGCATCCTAAGTATCTCTTGAATATGTCTGCTCTTTCTGTTCCAACTGAGGGAAGATAGAAGAAATAAAAGATAGGTTAAAAAAAAGAGATGAGGAAATCATAACTAAAATTTGCACTTTTAGGACTGCAACTTCCAGGACGTAGCTGAAGTTATCCAAGGTGCTGCATCACTAAAAGACCATAAATTGGCTTAATTAAGAATTATGGACTGAGAAACCTCACTCTAAGAAAAAGGCAAAGGCTGAAAAAAAATCTAGAGTGTTTATATTGTCTGTCCACAGGCAAACAAATTTCCCATGCCTGTGGAATAGGTTAGTATAGTACCCTTTGGGGTGAGAGCACTTTTTCCCTTGTTATCCAACCCCAAGAAAAGTACAAGTGCTTCTAATTCCAAACTGTGATGAAGTCTCATTTCTTTGAGTGTCCACACTCAAAGTGCCCTTGAATGCATCTTAAATTTCTGCCTAATAAAGTCTTTCCCTGCCTTCTTGAGGCTCGTCCTTTTTTGCAATAGTAGTCAGCACATCTGCTACAAAAATGGTAGGTTAAGTTTCTTGTTACCCTTTCACGAATCACCTCTCTCCTCTCTCTCTGGGATTACTTTTCTGCTGTGTGAAAGTGTAGAATTCTGCTCAGTAAAACTTTTTAATATAGAGAGGCTGGAGCAGAGGAAATCTTCTGTATTCAGAGCCAGAGTCAACTTAAGAAATCACTTTTTGTCTCAATCACAGTTCAAATTCTATTGTGCTCCTCCAATTAGCTATCATTGCACAAGCATGGCACTGAATATTTTTCTCACTTGGGAGGGGCTGTGTAGCTTTGAAAGGAAAAGCAACTTCACATGTTATCAGTAGACATGGTAAAACACACTGTACTAAGAATGTAAAGTACATAGAACAGGTACTTACGTGAAAAATTGCTCTTATCACCAGTGTTGAGGTAAAAGTTTTGGAAATTTTCTTTTGTTTTTCCAGGAAATTTATCAGCATAGTGACCCATTTGTGGACATTCTCCTGTTGCACAGGGGAAGCACTTGTTCTAGTGAAAACAAACAACACACAATTTCTAAGTGTTGTTAAAATGCAAATATTCTAAAGCTAAACAAGTCCCGATGTAAAAGGGAACTTTAAAAGGCAAAGCTTAACAATGTGTCTCATTAATCACGAGGATAAATGCACAATTTTACTGTTAGAAAGCACAGTGCTATTCAAATCACAAAGTGACATGGTATTTGCCTTTTTCCTTTTTTTTTAAATTTTTTTATTTTTTGCTTTCAAGTTGCCCCAGTTGCCTTTGATCTTCCAGTTGCTGGTTACAATTATTTTAGAAAGATTGCTTAAGAAAGAAAAATTAGCTTCTGATATGCAAAGTAGGATCCATTAGGAGAACAGAGATTCAAAAATCACACTCTTCTCCATTTCCTCGATTTCTGCTTAACATAAAAAAACTAAAGAATTAAATTTTCTTATAATTCTCCCAATATGGAGAAACTGCTCTAGCTGGCTCTTAAGGCTTAGAAAACATTCTCCTTTCCTAGTCCAAGGGATTGTGGTAAAAAGGATGGAGAAGGAAGTACACAGCTAAAGACAATCTCACTCTGGAGAGGAATTCCACTGCATAGTAAAAGCATGCAGTGGAATCCCAAATCAGTGAGCTACATCATGGACATGATAGAGTCTCAAATTTGGTATCTATTAAGCTAACAGGAAGATGAATCAGCCGCGAAGAAACAGCCAAAGCTCTGTAAGGGGATTTCCCAAATCAGAAGGCTGCACACCCCAGTTTATTTCTAAATGCCAGAAGTGTATTCTTCAATAAGGCAGATAGTGATATGATCAGGGTACAAAGGAACCAAGAAACCTATGTCAGTGGATCCCCAAGTCATCCCTATGGGGAATACATACTGGCCAGACTACCATCAGGATTATTGGGCCCAATACTGACTTGGAGACAAGTTCAGCAAGGGATCCAAAGAAGGAGAAAATTTTAAGATTGAAATATTTTTCTTACAAAAACCAGAGCATTAGCTAAAAGGACTATTATATTATCAAATCAGATTGATTGTATGAACCTAAAGCTTTTTTCTTGTTTTTTTTTTTTTAATAGGAAGAAAAATAGTTATACCAAAAAAGGGGAGAGAAGGTTTCAGTTCTTAGTGAATAATCAGCCTGTAATGTGAATAAAATATACCTTCCTTCTCCGCTGTAACAGCTAGTATTTATTGAATATGAATTATTTCATTTTTGTCCTTGGCTAAGTAATTAATATATGTCAGTTCACTAAGTCCTCTAACCAGGTGTTTTGAGGTTAGCATTATTATTTACATTTATAGATGAAATTCAATTCATAGAGAATGGAATTATTTTGCTCAAATTCATTCAGCTATTTAATACTGGAACCAAGATTCAAGTTTTCTCTCTTCATCTCTAAACTACATCTCCTTGGTAATTATCAGTTCATATAACATACTGCTGACTTGAAATTTTAAATGGCAAACAGTACAAATTTGGATCTAAAGAAAATAATACTAAAGAGTTAATTTGGAAAAAAAAAAAAACCAAATAGTGTTGTGTTGAAGATCATATGGAAATAAGAATTCAACCTGGATATCATGAGGATATCAGGCAAGATAAAAGCTTGAGAAAATATTATGAGATTGCATAGAAATAGCCATATGTGTATAAGTCTATAGTTTACAAGGTCTGCCAGGCATGGTAGTGTATGCCTGTAATCCCAGCACTAGGAGGCCGAGGCAGGAGGATTGTTGTGAGTTTAAGGCCAGCCTACGCTACCTAGTGAGTTCAAGGTCATCCTGGACTACAGAGCCAGACCCTGTTTCAAAAAATCAAAATAAGTACATAAAATAAAATCAAGTAAAATAGGAAATAAAAGGTCAGCTTCTAGAGAAGATAGTGTCATTTATACATGGCTCACAGATTGCCATAAACTAGTTTTTTGTCTGTTTAGGATTATTTCCAAAATGAGTTTGAACTTCTACCTGATACACAGAGAATTTGATCCAGAACAAGTTAGGCAAGAAACACTTCTATTTACATGCCCATTTCTCTAAAGTCCTTTGATGTTACTAAAGTCTTTTAACTATTACTGAAATACATACCTATAATTATGATGTGTGAAACTGTAAGCTTTCCCTGAATGATGCATATAGTACACTATATCAGTCATAAGAAGTAATAGAACAGTTTAAAAGACTGGGCTGGGATAGAGCGCAATAGTATAATGTACGTCTAGCATGCATGAAGCGCTATGTTTGATTCCCAGCAATTATAAAAATAAATTGCATTAAATATAAATAAATAAATAAACAAAATTAAAATGGAAAAATCGATCTAACTTACTGAAGAGAAAGAACTGTATGAGTCACAAGAGAATCCAGCAAAGCCTTTAGGGTTGGTAATGCTATCAATATAATATTTGTAGCTTCTTAAGTGATTACAGGCTGCAAAGTCCCGAGTTCCTATGAAAGCAGACAAGATTGTATGTCAACAATAGATTTTAGTTTTTCAACTTAATGTCAGATCACAATATAGTTATTGAATAGATTTCTTTAATTAGTGTGAACTCCTGGAGGTCACAGCACAAAATCATGTATGAAGTGTATTTATGATTTGTGATGTAATCATAAGTACTATTTGAATTTATAATAGATAAAGCCTTTGTTGAATGAAAAGCAAAATGACTGAAGAAGGAAAGATCTGATCTATACAAACTGGTGTGATATAATAATGTATTCCTTGGAAAGTTGACTGAAAATATGATTTATTTCCCAGTTTCCTCATGACTACTTGTCCCAATGGGAGACTAAACCTCAGAAATGCAATTAAAAGTCCTACATGAAATATAAGACCTGCACAGTTCCAAAATATTTAGCAAGTTTAGCAAATAGAATAAAAACTTTCCCCAATAAAAATCTCTTTGTACATATGACAATTTTACCTTCCCAGATTCCATCTATGTCAACAATCTGAGAGAGAATATTCTTTTGACATCCAGGCATTTGTAAACCTCCATTTGGAAAGAAATCCAGGTGACCCACAGTTTGGCTCATTCCAAATCCTGAAGAATTTTAAAAATAAGAGTGAATTTATTCTATGAGATAGCCTTAAGAGACTCTAAAACACTCTACTGTGTAGAACCAAAACCCTCTAAGAGGACAAATTGTGGTACTCACCTAAATTAGGGATTATTGGGTTACCATCTGTGTGAATCACATCCACAAATTGGGCATCACTGGGATCTAATCGAACTATTTCAGGGGTATACTGAAAGTAAGGTTCAGCTGGATCCAACCCTGTAGCAAATAGGATACGTCATTAATTACGTCAATATATGTGCATATTTATCCTTCATTATTATTTACAGATGTGAGTGTGAGTAGAATACTGGCTTTAATGATGAGTTAATGAAGGAAAGAAATAACTCACAGTTTTCTTGAGAGAAAACTGCTTTTAGCTTTCTCTTTTCTTCAAAGCGAATTTTACCCAAACCACAGAATTTGCCTCTATTTATGAATGCCTACTTTTTGGAAGAATCTTGGTTACTAACAGCAGTTACCAGAAAAGAGGCAGTCCCTGTAATGTACTTTAGCCATTCACACTAAAAGAGTTGCCACTGGATTGTTATCTAGAAGGGCAAGGATCTTTCTTGCCTTTCCTGGTCACTCAGTCCACAGTCTGGCATGGCCTAGTTTTGGGCTAGACAGGCTGTGATAAACAGTTATTAACTGTAACAAATGATGTTCTAGAAGAACTTTGGTTCTGCAAACTAGTGTTCAAGGCATTCCAAATGCCCTCATCAATAAAAGTGTAAACAACTTCAAAATACTAAAAAGAGAATCACCTTTGGAAGATGGAAGAGGGAAGAGGTCATTCTCTGAATTGATCATGTCTCAGATCTATCACTACAACCTGTTTCTCACAAGGTTATAGGGTTGTTTTAGGACTTGCATGTTCAATATGTGTCCTCAGAGGCTTTCTGAGGCCAGTCTGAGGTTTGTAATGTAATATTTTAAACCTAATGAGTAGGACTCACAACTGTAACCCAGGGCAGTTTGGTCATCTGTCCATATTTCCCTCAGTTCTGGGATTGTGTCTGATGAGTTTTAGTCTTACTAGTCATTGTTATTGAAGCAGGATACAATTAATTATACATATTTGAAGGATGAATATATTTATTTTGTTATTTATGCATGGAATTATCTTGTGGATATCTGAAAAATAGGGAAATAATTATAAAAGTGTCTCCAAGTAGTCCTAACTTACATTTTAGTCACAATTCATATATTTAAGCATTAAATAACTTGCTGAAGATCAAAGAATGGTTGCAATAAGAACAGTCTTTCAGGCAACAGAACATTCTGTGTGTTGATCATGTGGCCATTCAGAAAGCACGCCAAAATACAGGTTATGTCAGAAACCCCTCCTGTTTTTCCTTCTGGATCCCATAAAGCTACACATAGCCTAATTTTGAAGTTTCTGTGGGGGAATCATGATTACTTTACAGTTATTTCTTTATGGCATCATTGCAGCTGAATAGTAAAACACTAACTCTTGATCTTTTAGTCTACAAGAGTGACGCCCATGTCACTTAGGTGACCTCATTACTTTGCATGTCTTAGAGAATAACCTTTCCTCCCCTGTCCCTATTAGTCAAAGAGTCCTTTTAGTAGATGATATAACAGATACAAGATATAGATATAAATATATTTATAGACAGTTTTTTTTCTGACCCTCTTGATTACGAAGTCCAATTAGTCCATACACGCATATTTGTTAACTCTACTCAGAAGGAATGGTTTTTTAACAATACAAGGAAGACTGAACCCTACTACAGAGAACATTGGTCAATCTTCTGACAGCACTTGGTTCTCCTCAGACTCGAGAGAGATGGACAATAAAACCATCAAGACCTGATGGAAGCACTCCTGAGATAACATTCCTATACTCTCTTCTTCACCTGAAGATCAAACGTAAAGGTCCCTGATTTTCTCTTGGTTGGTACATTCCTCTCTTAGAGTTCACCAGCTGCTCTCTTGCAGGGTACCAATAAATTCTAACCTTTCTATACTCCTTAGTTATTGGTAAATTGTTTTCATCACTTGTGGCACCAGCCTCTCACACGCTGTGCCTCACACTGAAGTTTTCACTGTTGTCACCAACCTGTAATTCGTCCAATGGCCCCATTGGTCCTCCTTCCAGCCTCCCCAGCAGCATGGGAACCCAGACTGTGGCCAATGATATGGACACTGGAAGGTGGGTAGTCCAGTTGAGACTGTTGGAAAGACAATCTCTTCAAAATGTGTTCAAGTACTGTAGAATTCCTGATGGGCACAAAAGGGGCACCTCCAAACCTTGATTTTTAAGAAGATGATTGATTTTCATAGGGTTTTTTACATTGTTATAATGAAAAATGGAAATTATTTTTACTTTTAAACAAGTAGACACAATTTTGTTCTTTTACTATAAAGAAAGAATCTTTGAAGAACATGAAAAATTATTACCCAGAGACGATAAGTATTTAGATAAAGGAAGTAGGTAAATTATAAAATCATAAGGAAGTCACATGCAGGTTTAACTCTTTTTAAGCCAGTCAGTTACCCAGTAACGTTAGCTTTTTATCTTTGTGCTTCTCTTTAAATATATAAATTAAAACAAAAATAAGTTTAACCTTGAGGTTGATATTGTCATGTCAATTTGGTAATAATCACAATATAAACACTGGTAACACCCAATGTATATTATGTACCTTGTTGTTTGCATAAGTTCACTTAATTAAAAACAAAAATAAATTTATTGAATTAAATAGCTAATTTATCACAAAGCCTACATATTTTTTGCGTTTTTTAACCTAAAAGTCATATCTCAGCTGAAAAGAATTTTTAAACAGTCATCATGCCTACAGCTTTTGTTTTGGAAAGAGAATCCAGACAGTAACACATATGGGTTTGTGGAACCTGAAGTTACCTGAAGGAAATTGATCAGATAGGCCACTTCTGCCCCCACAACCTGGATGTTCTGTGAAGCCTGGCTGTATAACGTTCGGGAGCCTCCTCTCCAGTCCACGCAGATACAGTTCACACTTTCCACCTGAAACAAGGCCTGATGGAAGAAACACCAAACAGGGAAATAAGTTCCTGATCATTATTAAAAGCTAACATGTGTGAGGACTAGAATACACTCTCTCTTTGGCCTAAAAAGTGTCATATTGGTTTTTCACTCCAGAGATATAAACAAATCTCTAGTCTATAATGAATATGGAACTCCTTGTAAGTTTAACATTGGCTCCAACTGGAGACAGGGCCATCACGGGAACTGAACTCTTGGGATTTCTATTTGATTTAGAGAGGAATGCATAAGATGTGATATAATGACTTATCTCATTAGAGGACCTTATATACCATAGGATTCCCGTGTCCCTTACTAGAATGCACCTGAGGAAATTACCTGTTTCTTGCACTGCTATGTCCTACTCAGTGCCCTATTTGGCACACATTAGGTGCCCAGTAGTTACTATCTGAATGAACTAAAGACTTGGGCGAGCCTCTGAAATTTATAAATATACTGAAGGTAAAGGAAGAAGCTTTTCAGTGAGAAAAGAAACTAATCAAACTTTTTGCATATGTATGTTTTATTGTATATCACGGAAGTTATTTCATGTGAGTGCATACTCTGACAAGTATCTACAGGAGACTCCGAGAATTGGAGCTCAATTATGGGTTCATGACAGATAGTTCCAGCAGGAATTATCTGTTTGAGTATGTGTTTATATACATTTCCACTTTTTTCCAGCAAGAATTTGAGAATAATGAAATAATGTTAGAAAGCATAGCAAAGTCTCTGTCTGCAGAAAACAAATCCAAAAAAATTGGAATAATTCTCTAAAGTATGACATACTGAATTCAATTTTGTTACTTTTAGATTTCAACATGCAATTTTACTTCTAACATTGGTAAACAAAGAGTTCAGTTCTATGTCAAAGCAAATCAGATTGAAGGCATTTAAAACATATTTGCTTTGGGGACCTTAGAAATAAACCACATATGCATGTCTACAAATACCTATATTCTGTTTGACCTATTAAACAGCTCTTTTTCTTTCATTATAGTATAGCACTCTATTAATTTCCACCCAATCATTACCAGATTTAAAATATTTTAGAAGACAAGCTGTAAAAGACACCCCAAAGCTTGCAAAGCAGATGAATGAGTTTCTTTGGGATCAGCCATTATGCCCTGGAGCTGACTTGGTTCTGCTGTTGGCATGAGTCAAACGCAGGCCAGAAATGAAAGGGTTTAGGACGACATTGCTGTCTTCTTGAGCCCTCTGGGGAAACGACCACAACTTTGTAACCACATCAGTCACAGAAATTTGATGAAATATGAATAAACACATGAGTAAATGAGTCAATAATAGTGTTTCTCAAGCACTGCCAGCTCCTAGGAAACTTTACTCTGATTCTTCACCTTTTAAATCTTTTAAATCTTTGTTATCTTGGGGAACAGAGATAAAGGCAAATTAAGGAAAGCAGGATCATTGCTGCAGAAACAGAAGCCAGAAGTAAAAACCATTATGGTTTTCCTAGGCTTCCTGTCACGAGAGGAAGCCAGAGTAAGAAGCAAAATTCAAAGAAAAAGAGTTTGTTTGGGCAAGTGAGATCTGTTAGCTCTTCATATAGAAATTTAAAACTAAGGAGCAATCTAGGACATAAATAGCTAGAATATGTCAATCTGGTGGCTTTTGTTGCTAAAGTTTTGAAATACCCATGTATTAATTATTAAATATTCATTGCCTGGAGCCACAAATGCCTGCCAATCTGGTTGTTCAGACTTCCCAGGTCACCTCCACTTGTGTTCACCTCCTGGACCTTCTCTAGAGACCCAGGCCCTGCAGGGGTCAGAGGCTCCACACAATGTAGTGGTTCCCAATATTTGTCCTCCTTGGTTGTTCATTTTCGTTCCTGAAAGAACTATCCTTTAGAAGGTTACCAGGGCTTACCTTACACAAATCGGCCAGCCAATTTTCTTCTCCCTTATCTATGAATCCATGAATAATAAAGCGAGTTTTTCTATCTGTTTTGAAGTTGGAGCTCCTGATAACTGACGAATCAGCAGTAATCCTCTGTTTGGATTGAAAAGCATTTCTGGTCAAACTTCTTGCATTAGCTTCTATATGCCAGACCCATTATATGTGCATGGAGGTGATAGGTAAAGGTTAACGGGATTCAGGATTCTTGTCCATTTGGGTTCTCCCAGTACAGCTAAGCTATTCATAGTCAACCATAAGTTCCTATTTTCTAATCATTACAAAATTTTTGTGGTTGTTCAATTTGGAATAACATGTCTGTTACAATATTTGTCATTTAATGTCTCATCCCCCCACAATGGAAATATCGGTATCTCTTTGTATCTATGTATATGTATCTATCTACCTATCCTTACAATATATGTCTACAGATATTTCTTCAGTTATCAGGTTTTGTCCTAATAGAACTATCAGAAGCCAATTATATTGTTAACTTGAAAATGTACTGAGAACAACTAAACCATCAAATATAGTTTAGCAATACAGCACACTGTAGAGCACTAATTGTTTACATTGGTGATCAGTGGCTGGTTGGAAATTTCTGTTGGTGATGCCTTGTGTGAGAGTGTCAATCAGCATCTCACTAGCTCACAATGGACTGAGATGAAAAATTCAGAGGATGGTTGCTACTGGATGCATATCACTTTCCCACATCATAAAGACAAAAATTTATTAAGTCAAGCTATCTTAAGTGAGGACCATACATAAGGTCTATATATATATATATATATATATATATATATATATATATAATTGAACTCATAAATATGTAACTCAATTCATATTTTGCCTGAGACCATAAAAAGAGCATTTTGGTTAAGCTAATATCATCTGTCTATGTATCTTCATATTGTGAAATACTGTACATTTTATGTATAAATATAAAATCTACATGTATTATATGTTCATATAATATTTTTACATATCTCCCTGTATTTGTAATATTTTAAATGGTACTGTTATGTAGGATAATAATAACATGAAGTTAATGGATCTTTTATCTGTTTTTTTGAGACAAAGTCTCACTATATAATTCAGCTGGCCTCAAACTCATGACACCCCTCCTGCCTGCCTCAGCCTCTTGCGTGTAGGGATTACAATCATGTGCCACCACAGTTTAATGAGCCTTTTATAAATTTTATAAATTTTATAAATAAGTTACATAAAGTCATACCTAAGCTCATGTATATATAAAACCATTGTCTGACTTGTTCTTCAGATGTGAATAGTCATAATACTAATTACATAAAGCAGATAGAACTCAGTGCTGAAAACAATGAGTTTTCTTACTTGGTAGTTGTTTGGGTTCTCATTAGTGTATAGAAGGAAGCGGACGTTGATGGCTGAGGGGTCCCAAGGTAAGCCTTTCAGGGGTCTTTCTGAAGTTCCTGCCCATGGTTTATTATCACTGAAGCAGCCAAGTCTATCAAAGCAGACTTCACCTCCTGCAATCATTCAAGAATGTTTTAAGGACATTTGATTAACCAGAAAGCTCTTTTGATGGACTAGCATAAAATATGAATTAAATTATATTTTGTGGCAGACTTTATTCTATGTTCGCAAATTGCTCCTATGGACACAAAACAGCTTCAAAATGATAACAACTCTGGTACATACAGGTGCTTCTCACTTCTACCCCAGGGATCAGCTCATGCTCCTGCTCAGTCCCCAACAGGGACTCCTTTTCAGCTTCTGAACTCAGATGTCAACTCTGAACTTCTGGTGCCAAGAAACAGAATAGCCATGTGTGGGAGGATGTGTTGTGTCTGTGTGCAGGCCCTTAACTCCCAGTAGCCACCATTTGGCCTTGTACTTTTCACAATGAGGTTAGCTTTCAAGCAAGGGCTTGAAATTTCCTATTTCTTTCTTGACAGAGCAGGGATGTCTGACTTGTTTAAGGGCCATCCTGGATTTCTGTGATAGAGAAGGTACTTACAAATCAAGTATACACACACTCACACACAGATTATGATTGGATACAACTGGAGGCAAAAGTTATTGCATAAAGGGATAATTCATAATAGAGCACAAACTCCATGTTAATTGTAAGAGTAGTAGCTTTCATTGGGCTGCACTCCTCAACATCTTACTGTGTAAGCTGGAAGCTGGATCAGATGATTTACTCATCTAAGCCTTATAGCCATGCCATGATAGGGTGATGCCATTATTCCCATTTCACAGACAAAGATCCTAAAGCACAGAAAGGTTAGGAGTTGTAGGTGATTAAAGCAAGTTTCCTCCCTTGACCCCAAACTAAGCATATTAGTTCACAAAACAAAACTGCAAGATAAATTTAAACTTTGCAAAAAGTAAATTTTTAAAATACAAATTATCACGTATTTGTGACTGTCTTAATTATTTGTTGTTTATCTGAAATTCAAATTGAACTGGTAATTGTAGATTTTATGTGGCAACCCCAGACCACGTTCTATGCACTTCATCCTGCATCTCCCCTACTTTACCCCTCAGACTCCTCTTGGCTTGAATCTGAGATCACAATCTCTTGGAAAGAACAAAGAAGTGAATACCCCTTGTTCCACAGGAATATCTTTTCTTACCTGCTACAGTTTCCAGAAATAGTGAGAGTATCCACAGCAGCAGCATCTAAAAAAGATAAAAACATAACATTCTGTCAACTACAATGTTTGAAAGATTAGTATAATCTAAATTCATTTAGTTCTCTGCAGGGAAATGAGTGAATCCTAACAAATTATCCTGGAAAACTTGTTCCTAACTCACCGTGGCGATTCTCAGTTTTCACAGACAACCAGACAACACTGAAAGCTCCCTTTATAGTGAGCCTTATCTTTTCAAAGAGTGCCATGGAAAAGTATCATGAAATAAAAGAAAACTCCAAGGACATAGTTCTAATTTTAATCACAGATAAGCCCAGATTGATAGAGTAGGTAAAGTTTTCCAGAGTGCTGTGGGGAGATGAGAAAGACGTAGATAAGGAAAGTTCTCTTTCTATTTATTTATGTAATGCTAAGAATCACTGTCATTTCATTATAGTGAAGGTTCTAGACAGCCTCTTAATTTGCAGTTCTCTGTGCAAGGTCATGGGCATGTGTGAAACTGGATTGTTGCAAGATTTGATAGCCACCATCCTGGAAATCAACCCTGAATATTGACCAGCCTCAGGTAGATTTTCTATCACCTCTCCTTTCCCTTCAAACACTACAAAACAGAAACAATCCTTCAAGAGAGTGCTTTCCTTCTGGCAAAGGAGTCAATATTTTATGTCAAGAGTCCATGGCCCTCATTTGTTTTTCACTAATAATATGTTGTAAAGCATAAACAGCAACAACAACACCAACAACACAAGGGGAATTTGGGATGCTGTTGAAATCATGGAGGTGCAATTGATGACTCCACCACGAGATGAAATTATATTTAAGAGAGAAAGATAAAATTCAACATGGGAAAAAGTGGTCTGGAAAAAAATGCTCTAGAAGAGAAATTTTTGATAAAAGCAACTCTGGAATATTTTCTATTTTGCTTAAATTGCACTTTAAAGACTGCAATTGGATATGACAATTTTAGGGACTAGAATTATTTAGCTTGTTAGTACAACAGATTTGTATTGAATCATACGAAACTGCTGTATTTCCAGGTCAAAATGGTCAAGCATAGTGAGTTCACTCACAAAATTATAGACACGGTGAAAAGGCAATAAAGTTTTTGTTAAAAAAGCTCAAGAGAATTCACCAAATACTATGACCGACCCATAATTAGGACAGAAGGCAAAAGAAAGAAATTTTTTCCTGAGAGCCTGGCAAATTCCCACCAAAATCCATCCTGTTTCAGCTCTGTCCCTTCCTTTAGGGCATCTTCTCCAGCCCTCTTTATGTTGTTCCTTCTGGTCCCACAAACGAGATTACCTCACTTGAGTCCTATGACATTCTTCATGGGTCACAAACTAAGAGAGGGCTGGAATATTTTGGCCTCCTTTTCACATCCAAGCATCTAGCTCAGTGCTTGATGTTTAGCAGACTCTCACAAATTCCCTTTGAATGCATAAAGGGGGAATGAATATGAAAAACCATTTATTTTGCATGATTGCTACATTAACTGCCTGCAAAATTTCACAATGAAGGATTGGAAGTTCCTCTTACTTTATTAATTGAACCTCCTCAAACAAACAAGCAAACTCTCCAGAAACCTCTAAGAAAGGAAATCATGTCTTTCTATAGTATTTCTTCACAGTAATGCTCTATTGATTTGACAGTGCTATCCTATGGAAGCCAATGTTCATTTAGTGTATATCCTGAGGTAGTTCACATTTTGGGGGAAATAGTAGGTCAGATTATTTATCAAGTGGCACTCTGGATGATGCATAATTTAATCCATAGAAAGGGTGACCTTTATTTGCACATAAATTAAAGACTTAGGACCAAATTCTGCTAGATTCTGAAATAGAAACTAGTCTGTGGAGTGTTATTTTGTAAACTGAAATAGGTTCAAAATGAAAAATGTCTCAGAAAGATTCACTTCTCCAAATCTACAAAAGTTGGGAAGGAAACAGGACACAATCAACAGCCTATCATGTATAAATGACTGCTTCTGTATAAACTACTTCCCCTAATTCCAATCCTGGGTCAACCATATAGTTTTACTTACTCTACTAACTTGCTCTTTGGGGGTGTCTGCTTATATAGTCTGTGGCGAAGATTGCAAACATCGTTTTACAGAGAATAATTTTAGACTGTTTTCTCTTACTTCCCTTGCAGAAGATGGGGCTTTAAGCCCACTTCTGGCAATGAAATGTGACACCCTGGATATATACAAATGCCAATCCTTTTACTAAAAAGCCACAGGTGGTCCTCTGTGACTTCCATGTTTCTGTCTTGATGCAAATAAGGATAGGAACATTACAGGTCTGTATTGAAGCTGGAGAAACTCTCAAACGAAAGGATCCTGGATATCCTACTTATGGGAAAATGATTCAACAGTCATGAACATGCATTTTGAATCTTATATGAGTAAGAAACTCTTGTTAATTTAACTGAGATGTAAGGTTGTATCAGGCTCTAGCACCATAGCAACTAAAATTTCATTACTATGCACTTTTTCTCTCTTGTCTATGAACTTTTCAGATACCAAATATCCAATCCTGGGCTCAATTTCGACATGAGAGATTTCTGCATAACAGTAACACTGGTAGATTCGCCTCCCTCCCAACATTTGTTTTGCTAAATTCCTTTTCTGTACTTCCCTAATTATCTTCTCAATTCTTTATTCATTATAGCGGAATTTTAATTTAGTGGTCATGTTTCAATTCAATCTCTGATGGAGACCTTTAAAAGGTAATCTAGGGTCATGTAAGACTCAAGTTCTAATGTAAATTCACCCCATGTTTCCTGGCACCCGAGGTGCAATTATTGTGAAACTGCAACAGTTGAATGCTCTAGATACACAGGAGCTCCTCCCAAAACCCATGGGGATTGGAGCTGCCTTCCAAATCCTGCTTCTCACCAGCCTCTGTGGCTGGCTTCTCTCTTTTCAGAATTACAGGTTTGAGGATCAGCTTTGTGAAGGACAACAGAATCAGGGCAGACTCACCTCAGGTATCCCATAGTTTTGAAAGTCCAAGTGGGATCCAATTAAAAAATAATTCCAAGTCTCCTGGATTCAACAAAGCATAGGATAACACTAACTCAACTTTGACCCAGAAACTTTCAGTACTTAAACAGAAATGCTAGACTTGGCAGTTTCTAATCAAGTAGTTATATATAAAGAGGAGATAGTCACTTTTCAGTGTTCAGATTCCGGTGACATTGTGATACCAACTTCTAGGGGGGAAAAAAGCCCAGGTAACACCTGTGTGGTCAGAAAACCAACATGTTAGACAAAGGGGTCTCATTTACTTAGGCTTTCATGTTTTCATATTTCTGCATCTAATCTCCATGCACACCTTTGGAAAGTTTAACTATTTTCCAAATTCAGAGATAAGTCACCTGTTTCAGGGACACATGTTTGGTAAGAAGCGGTCAGTTTACAGGCACAAATTTTTTTCACTAGCTGCAGATTACTTATGTCAATACACAGAAGGGCATGTTTTCCCAGGCTATGTTAGAACAGAATTGATCAAAATCGTGTCCAGGACAAGTATGAGTGTGTAGACACCTGTTTAAAACTGGGTATTTGCTTTCTAAAACAAATTCACACCTCTGCACATGCATTTCTGATAACTCTAACATGCAGTGGGGGAGGGAAGGACCAGCAGAGACCATCAGACTGGGTAAAGGCAACATGCTTACTTAAAGCACTGAAAGTCATAGAACTAAATTCTATAAAAGCTAAAATCAAGCATTCTAATAGAAAAATGGGAGAGACTCTTAAAAAGGAAGAAACTGCTGTCTCAGATTAGGTAAAGGTTTCATAAAAAGTACTCTGTAAAAACATGTCAACTAGGCTTACTGAAAATTAAAAACTTGTAAGTGGTGGATTACATTCCCTGGTTATTACCACTTGCCAATTACTGGCGGGCTCTACATTTTGTTTTATTTTGGCACAGGACTATAGAGAAGCCTATCACCAGACATGATCACGGATAAGGCCAATACCCTTGGAGAGAAGTAAAAACATCCAAAGTGTTTTATATTTCAAATCAGAAAGCCACAAAAATGAGCAGGAAGAACACCACCTCTCCTTCACATGAGCTAATATCGCTGTCCAATGCATATGACCTGATTCAACAACACAGCCACCACCACCTCCAAGCTGCCCCTATATTTGCTTCCCTACAGCATGTGGCATATCTTGGTTACTTTTCTCTCATTGATGGGACAAAACACCCCACACTCAAAATGAAGGAAGGAAAGGTTTATTTAGCCCCCGGTTTGTGGAGGTTTCATTCCATAATCATCTGGCTGCAAGGCAATGTGGCATGGCACTGGGGCAACACTTCAAGGCAGCAGCCAGAGCAATAGGGAGAAACAAACCTCTTCCCCTCTCTTATATTGTAAGCAGGCAACCCACCTTCCTAGGGCAGGTATAGCACTCACAAAATCTTCTTGCCCTCCTTTTGCACAGAATGAGGATATTTACAATGTAAGAATCCTGGCTCCGTGCTGAGTCTCTTAGGTAAACTTCTAAACTGTTCAAGTTGACACAGTGTATTAATAATCATGGATAAGGCCAATGCCCTTGGAGAAAAGAAAAAAATCCAAAGTCTTCTATATTTCATTGCAGAAAGTCACAAAAATGAGCAGGAGGAATACCACCTCTCCCCTACATGAGCAAATGTGCTTGTCCCATGCATATCTCCTGATTCAACAATATAATCACCTACCAACTCCAAGTTGGCCCTATATTTGCTTCCCCACAACATAGGATAGCAGAGGTGAGAACTAACCAACTAGCGTAATCCTAGATGAGAAAAATGTGGAGAAGAGAGAGAAGAAACCAGACCCAGGTCTGTGGCATTAAGTCCAGCAACTTGTTTGAACACTTGACCTGCAACCTACAACCAAGAGAGATCGGAGAGCTGATTGCATTCCTTATCTGTCAGTAGGACTGATGACATGCCTTGGCTTGGGCAGTAACAACAACCAGGGGAGACTGAATGAAGGGTCTTGTGGTGCAGAATGTGTACCTTAAAAGCCCGTGTGTTAAACGTGGCAGAAAATCTCAGCATTGGAGAGAGTCCACGTGCATGGGAGAAGAGGGATCCTGCACCCATGTGAGAGAGCAAACTGACATCGAAGGAATGTTTCCCCACATCCACTTGGGAGAGCCCACTGACTCTTATTCTCCACCCCTTCCATGTTTACCAGTAGAACCACTACATTTTATTAATCTCTACAGAAATAGTTAATGTTACTGTGCTATTATTCCATTTTATAGACATCTACTGTAGGTCAATAGTAAGTTAGTATTTGATTTGCCTTAGTGTTTACACTACAAACACAAATCTCTTTCT